ATCGAAAGATATGCTTTTAATTTTGAATTTAGAACACGCAAAGCTGAAATACCTGACGCATAATTAAAGTAAAATCTCCGCGATACTAAAGTAATAAAATCGAGCATCGTTAGGTGCATTTGTTGTCATCAGCCCTGTCAATTCGAGGAACATTTTCATCTTGTTAGGAGAGAAGTCGCATTACCAATAAACCAAGTGGACCACCACGAGGGGCGCTCCGTATCAGGTTAAACTCTCACGAAACAAGTTCTCCAGCGTAAAGTAGCGTGCTCTGTAGCAGCTAGTCTCGCGTTCCCTCCCGAAACTCAACTGGAACCACTGCTACTCTACCAAAAATCGATCTGCATACATACACGTACACCTAGTTCCCCGTGTAAGCGTGGATTCAATGTGCCTCAGAACACGGGGTTGCGCAAGATTGCGCAATAGAGAGATTCGGCAAATCGACAGAGAGACGGAGGGCGTAGAATTTTGAACATTTAGCCTTGAAGCTTCGTTCAAAAGAAGTTTGTTTGTTTGTTTATTTCGTTCTGGTTTTTCGAATCGTGGCACTTTTGACAGGAATCTTGCCATAAATTGAACGAAAGAGAGCCATAGCTGCAAGGATCCAATAAACAATTCGACAGTTTTCTCAGGCATTTAAATATTTTCCACTACTTATAATTCTGTTATATCTATTTTCAAATTTACGAGCAAACGATTAAAACACGAAAGCTGAAATTCGATGAGTCAACGTGCTGTAGAAATCTACCACGTCGTGTAGTGCTTGAAAGACTTTTGTTGATCAGTTTATATACATTCATTTCCAAACCGTACGAATAAAAAATATATATATATATAAATATATGAAAACTGAAATTTAGCAAGAAATCGAAAAACTGACAGGAGCAGAAAGTCTGCGGGTCCCGACAGCGGCTTTATTTTTAATTTCCCTTGCTTCTGGCTGGCTGCAAGGGCGTAGAAAGAGGGACGAAGGGCCGCGGAGCAGGGAGAGGGATAGGAGAACAGGTTTTCTGGTCGGGCAAGGTACGAGAAGGGGAGCCTCGCCACGATTCGTGACTACCTGACGACGTGGAGCTTGGCCCCTTTTATGGCTGGAAAATGGTGAACAGGTGCTCGTAAAAATCTGACGCCTCCGACTTTCCTTGCCCCTTCACCCTTCTTGTTTGCGCGTCGTACAAATTACAGGATCGAGAACCGCAGGGTCCCTTAATCATCCAACGCGTAGTCGATCGTCGAAAATTTGTTTCTTAACGATCTACGCGGCATCTCCTCGGCGTCTCGTTTGAGAAAAAGAAATTCCGGATTCGTTCACGAGTGTTCGAGGGACTCACAAGTGGCTGTGATCCCGCGGAAGATGAATTTGGGATTAGGTTTCATAATTCAGGGATGACATTGAAATGGGAAACGTCAGAAATTAAAAAAGTTTTTGTCGAGATTTCTGACATTTATCATTTTTAGAGATTTTTTGGTCAATTGCTGTTTCTCAGAAACCTAACCTTTAGAAATGAACTGTTGAGTTTTTTTTTTCTACAAAAAATTAATGAATTAACTGGTATAACATCTATTGTAATTCTAACACGTTCTAGTATAATAGTTTATACGTTCCAACGTATTTTATATAGTTTGTATATTTTATAATTTACAAAAAGTGTATTTATGAATGAAAAGGTAATGTTCCCTATAAAATATTTCTAGCATCGAATTAAAAGTCCTGTTCAAGCGCAAAAGTACAGAGTACATTTGCGCTCGATAATACTGTTTACTACTTTCATTTAAAGAAAAGATACGGTCGGTCTATATCGTCGTACAAGCTATGAAATTAATTGAAACGCGTGTATTAGAAGTATATAATACACACTGTTATCTGACAGTGTTGTCGCTACTTCGAAGTCTCTGAGAGGGCAATTTTCGCAATTACGCTTAAGCACCTATTTCTTCGAATTGAAACGATTAATATTTGATAGCTCTCCTGCACGCTTTTTTCACAAATCGTTTACCAATCGTAACGGAAGAAGGAACAGACGCAAGAGAGTGTTGACATTGAAAAGAACGCTCGAGTTTATGAGACTAGTAGAGAAAGAGTTAAAGAAACGCCGCAAGAAAAGCTGCAACGAAGTTACCGAAGTTGAACTCTTTTCGAAACTCTCGAGGAAAGTTTAGCTTCTAACGTCTTGAAAATTACAGAATCAACCCTGACTTCGGTTTGTCCCGCCAAAGTCACTTAAACTTTTGTAAGAAATGAATATTTTGTGGAACGCTATTTCCTCGATTAATTCTTTCGGTGCTTAGGCATAGAAAAATACTGATAAACGAAGTCACAAATTTTTTAGAAATAAAATAATAATCAGACTGAAGCATTGACTATTTAAGTTGACTATTTAAGATACGTTAATATCGGCAATTTAGCTGAGATTGTATATATGTACAATAAATTAAGATAAACACGAAAAAAGAAAAGATTCTTAAATGGAATTTATTCCAGTGGAATTTCATTTTCACTGACTTGAAATTTATATTTTCCTGAATGCTCTACTCTAATCATTTGATCATTTTGTAACACATCCCATAAATATCCACAGTTTATTAATCACATCAAAACGTATTGTCTCTTAACGCGCTATTTCTCGAACTGTCGGATCATTTTCCACGATTTTCTCCACATTTCCAGCAGCTTCTCACAGTTCGTAGATGGTTCAAAGCCAAAAAAAAAAAAAAAAAAAAAAAAAAAAAGAAACGAAAACCAAGAAAGAGAAAGGAAAGAAAAGGAAGCTTCAGAAAAACTCGTCGTTTGCTCGTATCGGGAGTCAGTAGTTGCGTACGTCGCACATCGGCCATCGCTTTCGATCATTATAATTCACCGGCATAATCGGTAACGGCGTTAATCATCCCGACAAACAGACGCCAACCGATTGACAGTTTATTGACGGTTATTATCGCGTGAACTTAACGAGGCCGACGGTAAGACGTGTGTTTCCACGTAGAGGAAAGGCAACAACCACTTCGTTTCGTACGTGCAGCTTTTTCGGACACGCGACGTCCGTCGTTTTCTCTCCAGCTGGATGTTCTCTCGCTCGAGTTTCAGGTCGTCGCACCGGGCTCATTATCCTGTCCCCCGGGCATTGTGATTTGTCTCGTAATTTTGAATAATTCCAACGACGAAAAGACACCCGGCAAGGTGTTTCCTTTGGGATGGTTACGTTTGCACCGATTACTCTTTTTTTATCCGAAGACTCGATTGTACGTATGGTGATCGTTTGAACGAAAGACCAATGAATTTTCGCAAAGTTGATTCCTTGAGGAAATTCGTACGATACTGGTATTTTGGATATTAATTGGATTGATCGTTTTCATTTCAGAGCTTACGTTTGAATCGAATTGGCAATTGGAAACAAATTTTCCTTTACAGCGTTGGGAATGTAACGGGACAGTAGAAGGTCGCATAAATCTTCAAATAATCGTAGTTACTATTAATTTGAAGTTGGATCCACTCAATAGAGCCATTTGGCGCAGCTAAAATATCTTTAACAATTAAGAAGAAACTAGATTAACTATGAATCATGTAACTTTTTAAAGGAATCGCAAACTAATCTAGAAATGAATATACTTTATAATATTATATATATATATATATATTAATTTAATATATTTAATAAAACATAAATATATAATAATATTTATTTATAATATTATATAAAATGTATAAAAATTTAATTTTTTTATAATAAGGACAAGAAATTAAAATATATAATTATATATATATTATATTTAATTTCTTGTCCTTATTATAAAAAAAATTAAATTTTTATATATTTTATATAATGTTATAAATAAATATTATTATATATTTATTTTTTATTAAATATATTAAATTAATATATATATATATCATTATATATTATATATAATATATTATATTACATACAAGTACAGGTATCAAAATATTTCAATTGTCCTTCCGTATTTTCTTTACATCGATGATTCCTTCTTGGAACTTATCACAGCCTCCAGTGATCCGCAAAACTTTTAATATGCGCGTAATTTGACGTTTCGCAAAACCACTTAATATAAATTACCTCGGGGAGGAATTTTTTGACAAAGTGTGTACACAACCTATCGTTAATACCCAACTTCAACAAAGTTCTTGGGTTCCTTTGGGAATGATGGGTTTTCGTAATTTTTTTGTATTTTTTTTTTTTTCGCGTGCTCGTACTTGGAAATCTGTGTATCAAACGAGACTGTGCTAGCATGTGTATATATCTAAGAGAGTATATTATACTTGCCGACCTGTTGCTACCCCTTCTCCGCTTTCCAGCGCTTCTCAACCCTCCATCCCTTCGGTGACTCAACCCCTAGGAAATAGCGAAGTTCTCGCTCTCATTGAAATCGTTCTATATCTCATCCCGACCTTTGTCTGTCACATTTCTTTTCCTGTTTCTTTATTTGCAGGAGGATACATTGATCCGTATGCCTACGGGTGCTTCGCCATCTACGACGTGTTTTTTGGCACCTTTTTTTGGCATCTGCTTCTGTATTCTCCTTTTCCTTCCATTTTCGCGGAAATGAAGAACGAATGATGAAAGAGAGACGGGTGCTTGGATTTTTAATTTCCCTAATTTCGGTTCGACTCTTACTTTCGATTTATTTATTATTATTTCTTTTGAATATCTACGAACGTAAAATAATGATTATTCCTTAGATTCGTAAAGATAATGTAGCACGTATCCTGAGCATGAATTTTATTTCTGTGAAAATGTTCATTTTATTTAAAATTTTTACGCGCCCGACGCCTATATTTTATTTTCTCTATCCTTCTTCTACGTTTAAGACAAGCTCTCTTGTAATATATTTTCAAATATCAACGTAATCCTGAAAATTCTACAATTCTTATAACTTTCAGCATTGTCATTTCTAAAAATTCGTCGTATAAAAATATATATATCAGCGTGATAGTTTGAAATGAATTTTAACGAATGGTTTCTGCTCGTTTTGTTTTTCAGCCTCGGGAGGGGGAGGTTCGATGTTGGTCCCTCCCGTGGCCCAAAGTGGGACTGGGGATCGTCCCGTGGGCGACACGGGTGCCCGGGCCCAACAAACGTCCGGCCCTGCCGCGGCAGCAACCCTATGGCCCTTAGCACCAGCACAGTCCAATCAGGTTCCGAATCAGCAGTCTCAGGGTATTCCACCCCTGGCCGCCACTCCCGCGCCGGCTCACAATCAAGGTACACCACTTATCCTATATCAAGTGCAACAATTATTCTTGACATTTTTATCCAAATAATTGGAACGATCTTCGAAAACGCCACTTTATAGAACGATAATTATTGGATCTAGCGGGAATTCGTAATTTAGAACTTTTCGTGGATGAATTTATTAGAAAGAAAACGATAGCGTTGTGAACGATATCATTTTAGAATAAATATTTTTGTACGTTACTTCATAAAATTAACGTAGTATTAAATTATATTGAATTTCTTTAGCTTCTTGAAAAAAGGTCATTTCATACGGTGAGGCCTCTACTTTTACGTCATTGATGCAGTTAAAAATTGAAATTATCTGATTTAAAACGGATCCTAAGTAATATAAACTTTTTTTTTTTTTGGATAATTTTAGCAAAAATGACAGAGTATCTGGAAAGTTCATTTAACAAAGTGCACGTCTACCTTCGCGTACATAATCTTATCTATGAAATTAAATCTAGCATTATCTTATTATTGTCCATTGTGATATAAATATCAGTATTTTAACAAATGATTTGACGTAATTGACAAACAAGCATTGATAAATGAGCGTGTCCCAGCTAAAAAGTGCTAGATTTCTTTATTTCTTTAGAGTTTATCTTTATATAGAGTATATATATTTACAAATGTCCATCTTATCATTCAGAGAGATACTTTCAACAATCGATCAATGTATCTCGAATATTAGATGTTTGCTGAGTATGAATCACTAGAAATATTTCATTACATATCGTTTGTCATTTATAATTAAATTCTTGAGCATTCTGAATCTTATATCCATGATATCGTTATATTCTATATAACATTACGAAATAATTGGCAATATTAAAGATTATTCTGGTAAATAACCAAAATTGCGAAAATCGTCATTATTTTACGAGCTATGAATTTGTTAAAATCGAAAATCCTGAAACATTCACGTAATAAATTTCAAGCGTCAGCCACGCGGAGAAATCACGGAAAGCTTATTACACAAAGTACAATTCATAATCCCAAAGTCGATATTAATACAAAATGTCCGATTTGATGCATCGCAAATTTTTTAATCCGTAAAACTCATTAAAATTTCATATTTGCGTGCGATTCACATTAATACATAATTCGTACACTCGTGAATGAAAAAAAAAAAAAAAAAAAAAGAAGAAGAAACATAATTTCCCATGAATAAGAGATATACAAATTTATTTAAATCATTTCTGTTTGAAGTATTTCAATGTTATTTTCCGGTTTGAATTTTATGCCCCAATGCGAGAATTTATGCTGGATCATTAATTAAAGATTAATGGCAATTTCACATTGATTTTCTTTCGAAATTGTTTCACAGATATTTTAATCTTGAATTATTTGCATCATTTGATATAATGGTCCAAAAGTAGAATATATATAAAGTATCCTTTGTATAATTTCTCTTGTAATTAATATATTACTATTTAATATGAAGTTAATCTTTTTGAAAAAGAATATAATTATAATATTAATTAACTGTATAGTCAAAACCTTTTTAATTTCGTTTTCTTAATTTAAATGCTATAATTATAAAGTTACAAAAGCTATTATAGCTGTAGCTTTAGTTACTTCAGTTATGGTTACAAATATTTTCACTAGCCGAAACCTAGGACAGTGGAAGAGCGTTTAGATTAGGATTCTGAAAGGTTTCTCAGTTCAATTCCAAGTTTCGACAAGTATATTATTATTTTTTTACTGTACTTCTCGAATAAACAAAGTACTATAAAATTTTAACTTCGAGAAATTGTGTATTCGGAAAATACAAGTCTTTATATACCATATATTAAGATCACTATTAGAACAATCTAACCTAACAATTATTGGAATGTAGCTATTAGGATAACCTAACCTAATAGTTATAATTCGTACTCCGAATTCATCACCTTTATTATAACTGTTAAATTTCACCTACAGAAATAAAACTTGCACTTTTAAAATTGCAAATATATTTTATTGTTTTTCAAATTTTATTTTTTAAAGTTCAATTTATATAGCAAGGACTTGCGTAAGCCGAAATAGCTCAGTGGTAGAGCATTTAGACTTGTACTCTGAAAGGGTCCCTTGGTTCGATTCCAGGTTTCGGCAAGGATTATTATTTTTTTTACTGTACTTCCGAACACATAAGACGACAGATTTGCAATATAAAATTTTAATTTCAGGAAATTTCTGTATTACTCCCTGTGTATAGTAAATCTTCGCCGCTATTAGAATTTTAGCATGATATCGATATTAACTCCTGATGGACCTCTACCATATTAGATTTATAGGTACATAACTTTCAAGTTCATGAATTACTTAAACTAAAATTTCATATTTCTCAGAATACCCAAATTTCATCTTACTGTAGGAATAAACTCGCTTGACATATAAAAAAAATGTTCTATATCCTACCAATTTGATTTTCTCAATTTGAATAGGAAATCTTTTTTTGAGGTTACGGAAATTGATACACAAGGAAGTAGTTTAATAGCTGAACATTTAGATCGAAAATCTAAAAGACTTTTGGTTTCATTCTAGATCTTGGCAAATGAAATATTATTTATTTTATTTTTCATTATTTGATTTCATCAATGAGGTTCGTGTAGAAATTATATATATAAGGTAAGATCTACAAGGAGCCGAAATAGCTCAGTTGGGAGAGCGTTAGACTGAAGATCTAAATGTCCCCGGTTCAATCCCGGGTTTCGGCAAAGTTTTTTTTTTTCTAAATTTTTTTTTTTTACATTTAGCACGAGAAATTGTATAAATATTTTTATTCACATTTTAATTTAGCGACTATATATTTTTTTTATTTTATTCAAATTAACTCCACTCTTTGTTTTTCAATTTTATTACACAAGTTCACGATTAATGTCCTTAAGAAACATATAACTTGCATTCACAATTACGATTGTATTGTTCCATGTTATTACAACTAAGAATTTATTATTACAATTTATTGCTTGTGATTAAACAATGTGCAATTTACAACGTACAATACATTATTACAATTTCAACTTGGTATCGAAATTCACGATTCGCAGGACTGTTGAAGAACAACTCTCGATACAAACGTGAATGTAATAATACATACATTTTTACCATGAAACATCCTTGCTAAACCATCTTCAAAAAAAGATATTCTTAAAAAAGATATTCTTGTTAAACCAACTCTAAACAACTTCGTTAAGCCATATTCCCATTTCACGTTACGAATCCACTCCACTTAACCGTACCTCTACTATGCTTTCTTCAATTCCACTCATCCGGCCGGTTGAAATTCTGCTTAACCCCTCTCGATCGAATTTGCAAACTCGCAGTTCTCCCTAAAGTGACAATTAGCAGCGGAGAAACTCGATTGTTGTTTCCGAACGGTGTCTATTATCAGCGACGTTGGTTAAACCGTTAAAAAGTAATTCTCCCCGGCTCATCCAGTCGAGATGCACGATTGTCGTGCAACGACCAACGATCCACGATGTAGAAAAAAATAAAAAAAAAAAAAAAAGTAAATTCTCCGTCTGAATGGTGTTACAGGTGTGAGTCGTTACGGGCTGTACTCGTTATTCCCTGGAGGTGGCGGGGGCAGTTACGTCGCGGCCACTCCCGCCACCCCCGGGCCACCCACACCTGCACGAGCTTATCACGCGACAACACACAAGGGTAAGTTCACAACGATTTCTACTTTATTTCACCACCTCTCTACTCTGTCTTTCTCTCTCTTCTCGCTTTTTCTTCTTCTTCCTCATCGTCTCTCTCATTTGCAAGTCAAGTCTCCGCGTCTGTCGTTCTTCCTCTCGCGACTCATCTCCTTACCGACTTGTTACGCGAGATTTATTTTTAGCTCGTAGTAACCCTTTCGATACACGATAGTCGATATGTCAGTGTCGTCGTCGATCGGGAAAAGAGCGTAAATAGAGCTCGCGCGGTAATATTTCAATGAGGAAGTGTTCTATCACTTTTGTTTAAATTTAGCCGACGAGAAACTTGCGGAAATTGTGGAAAGAATCGTGCTTGCAAGAGGAAGTAACGTAATCTGAGATTTTGACGTGCAAATTGGAAGGATATTGGTATTGGGAATTTTTAAGTTCTTTTTTTTTTTTTTGAATTCGAACTGTAACTGCGATCACGAGCAACGAATATTATATTGTTGGCGTATTGTTATAATGTGTCTGATACGACAGGCAGAGGTAATGCCAGCAATTTAGAATTCTGACATGAATTATTTCGAACGGTATACACTGAAAATTCTCTAAATTTCAGCAAATACGATTCTCATGATTTTTAGCATTTAGATATTTTCGTTTATCAATGAGATTTTTATTATACTGCTATCATATATTATTATAGATGCAGTTGTACCTCTATCAGTTAATCGTCTCTAATGCCATAATATTGGTACTAATGTTAGTTTCAAAATATTCCGGATATAATATGATCAATAATAATGCCCTGAAATTTCCATTAAACTATATGCACGGATGATATTATATTACACTACACGTTCTAAACTGAATACATTATTCTAATGATACATAATACCAAACGATTACATAAAATATTCAAATGCACACTCCTGCTCGTTGAGCCACTTTTTACTTTTTAACATGCGATACTCAACATATAGATAGATAACAGAAATTTTTAAATTTCACGCGTATGAATGCACTAACAACAAACTAGTTTATCTAATTTTGTAGTACTCGTGCCAAGGTTTTTGGTAACTGAGATTTTATATATATATAAGAAATTTTAAAATATATAATATTATAAATATATAATAAAGAAATTTTAAATTATATAATATACAATATATATAATATTATAAATATATAATAAAGAAATTTTAAAATATATAATATATAATATATATAATATCATAAATATATAATAAAGAAATTTTAAATTTTAAAATATATAATATATATAATATAAATATATAATAAAGAAATTTTAAATTATATAATATATAATATATATAATATCATAAATATATAATAAAGAAATTTTAAAATATATAATATATAATAAAGTAATTTAAAAATATATAATATTATAAATATATAAGAAATTAAGTGAAAATAATATTTAGTGCTGATTTATTGTGGTGTCTCGTCGACCAAAGGATTCCCGGAATTTCTGTAACTCACTGCTGTTTTGTTACGTCCTTTTTTTTCCCCCCTCCCTTAATTTCTCCCTTTCCAAGAACGGATTTTCACGGTTCCCGGAACACACTTGTGTTGTTATCGTTCGGCACGATAATACGTGTCGTATGTACGTATGCGTGTCTAGCTACCTGTGAATAATCGCGTGGCGTAAACTATCGTCGCGAAAATTCGGATATTTACGTATTGCATCGGTTTAAATCGTCGAACACTTTCGTTCGTTGTACGCGATCAGTCGACTCTACGCCTCTGTTGTGATTGGATCTGGACGATCTGTACTCTTGTGTTTTCGTGTATGGTGTTGGGCGAGCTGTGCTTCCGGTCGACGTGACGCTCTCTCTCCTTGAACATCTACGCACGTTTCGCGATCTGGCGTACGTATTCTCCTAACTTTACTTCGATTTATTTCGCACATTTTCTCGCAGTTGCGTTCCAAAATTGTAATATATTTGTTGTAGAGAAAGGGGCAATATATTATTGTTTTTTAGACACTCTGGTGTATCATGGCTAGAAAAAGTATTGGCACATCGTCGTGTCTTTATTAAATTTTACATTCTAATTCTTAGTTTTTAATAAATTTTACATTCTTTGTATCAAATGTTTGCAATTTTGTATATCCACTACTAAACATTAATGTTGTTAATGTTTAGTAGTAGATAATAAGTTCGTTCGCATTATTGTATATAATATAATACGTGTATTTCTGTGTTTTTTGAATTATACAATTATGACTATTATTATGTGGAAAATATCTTCCTTGTATTGAAACGATTAACACTCCAATGTGAACAGTACAGTAAGTGTTTCAATAAACTTAAATCGTTCGTAAATCACAAATGCAATATTTTCAGTTTCATATTATACCTGAAATATTTAACGTATTTCGTTTCTTCTCCAATTTACAATTATAAGCAATATTTATCCTTCGTTAGATTTTCTTTTAAGATTCCCAAAAATACTAAGAAGCGAACGAATTTATTGCCTAACATTTAGTATATTAACAACAATAGAATAATAGTATGTTAAATCATAATATAATATTGAATAGATTTACTCTATCGTGATATATACTATATTATAGAAATGATTATAATTTCGAATAATTTTAATTTTAAACATCGATCAGGAAATTTCACATTTCTCGTCGAACGATTTATGTGAAACTACTGTTCCCGCCATATTTGCGCAATATTCATATATTGAACACGTGAATATTTCTCTCTCTTGCGATATTTTCTTTGACCGGCTTCTGTTTTCGACAGCCTTTCCAACTTTAAGAATTTCCATTTGTTTCTGTCGTTTACGTCACTTCCACGCAAATTGTCGGTCGCTCGCATTTACATGCTTTTACCCACAAAATTTTATATAACAACGAAAGAAGAACACGTGCAAAGTAGTTTCATTAGATATTTTAGCCGTTTTGCTGGAAAATAAAATCAGAGAAAACACTTCGATTACTCTTACACAACATTTATTAATAAAAATGGAAATATTCTTTTATTAGAATATTAGAATATTTCGCAACAATAGAATATTCTTAATCTTACTTCTCAATTTTTTTTTTTTAACAACAGAGTATTATTAATCTCATTTTTCAATAATTGATTTTATTTTCCAATAAAACGGTCAGAGTTTCTTAATTTCTACGCAACAAAGATACTTTCTAGCTTCGTTTCCTAAAGGACAATCGTTGCTCAAGTAACAGGATATTTGTTCAAATATCAGAACGAATTTAAATAACGAAGTTTCAGATTCTGACCCGAAACGTTTCTTTCGTATTACAAAACACGGTGCCTGCACTATGTATATACGATTCTCAAGATAACATAAAAGTAATTCTCACGAGCAACTGATCGATAACGTAAAGCATGCCAGATCCACGCGACATGTGTAGCCGAAATTTATTGCGCGATGCATGGAACACGGGGCCGTTTGAAGACGCCGCGGGAAAACCGATAATTATCAAGCGAATGCGGGCGCGCGTTCGATATCGCGGCGAGGAACGAAGAACTCGATGGTTTCCGGGGGAAATAAATTCGAGACGCGAGGGCAGCTGTGTTCCGGTTTCGCTGGCACAGCCCAGGGCCTCGATACGTCGATGCTCGAAGCAAGGAAGCAAGCTCTAAGAGAGAGAGTCTTCAAACCACGTGCGTGGCAATAATTTGTCGGCGGAGAGATGCGATCTAAATGAAATAATACGCCCGGGCATTAATGATTGTCGGGCACGGGCCGCGCATCACCTGCTGCAGCTGCTTACGAATAATGGGAAATTTCGTCGAGGAAATTAAGCCTGACCCGAGGGAAACGCGCTCTCTCGATTGTGCGAAATTCGCCTGGTCATTTGCTTTGGTTTTTATGTCTCTAAAATATGTTTTTTTTTTTTTTTCTTTGGCGGAATAATTGCTTTTTCACTTTAGATCATCTATCGTACAAAGAAAAATATAAAATTAATGTTTGTCATTTGTTTTTTCATTCTATTATGTCATTATGTTACTATTCTGTTATTTTAATAGTATAGTAACAATCGAAAACTCGTTAGTATGTGTTTAAGAAGCACGGATATTCTTGTGAAAAATAATATTATTTCTTGCTTGGGGAAATAATTGTAGCATATAATTATGAATTACAATGATTTACGTATGTAGAATGTTTTGACATTGATCTAATAGACATTTTTTTAATTTATATTAATATAATTTTGTTAACCAATCAAAGTTTTTTTTTTCAAAGGAATTTTATTGGTAAAAATTGAAATCAATCTCACTATATTGTATCTTGTAATTATAATTAGAAACATCTATATATATATTTTTATAATTGTTTCAAACTTGGTCAATACGATCGCGATAATTTATAACTTTTGATTATAACGTTAATGAGGTTTAAAAGCATTTCTATAATCGCTTGAATATTTTATTTTACTATCTACCAACATTTCAACATAAGTGGAAGTTAAATATATGATAAAATATTCGACGTAAAGAATGCAAAAAATAGAATAAAAAACCAAGTTACAAATTAAACAAATTGTTCTTTAGAGTATGTATGGATGGTTGCGTTTGCACATTTTATACCACGCGGTTCATGCTGCAGCATTTATTTTTCAATACCACAGCTGGAATTTACGGTACAGTAATCGATATAGGTTCACGTAACAATTGAAGGATTAAAGTACGATTTTTTTTTTTCTACAGAAAACAATTAGCTCGACGTGAAAGTTTTAGGATTAAAACGAGTATTCGAAACGTTTGACATGAAAAAACTGTTCCACGTATTTCAGTTAGCTTGATAAATTTTCCTCGTTAATCTATTAAATTCATAAACAATGTGACTTGTCACATTTACGTCTCGGTGTAATTAATTTATTAAATCAATATAATTTTGTTACGGACATAAATTGTCGTGCAAGAAAGGATCACGCGAAGAAACATCGATACGAAACATAATTTCGAAAGTGCTTGTTCTCGCGCGGTGCTGGTAAAATTAATTAAATTTCGGTAAATGAGGTTAGTTACATTTAAATAAAACGCGCTGGAATCTCGTTTGCATCCATATTGCCTTTCGTTTTTATTTTGAAGTACGAAGAAGCTGCAAAGGATTCCATTTTTGCGGGGCGAGGCAATTAGTATGCGAAAAAGGACGGGCAAGTGCATCTAGATTGTCTGAAACAGACAGCATATTTATTAAACTTGACCAACAAACAAGCAAGAAAATAATTTTTCTATCGTCCCTTGCCGAAGAACATAGGAATATCAAATTCATTTTAATTTTTCATGTTTCGACGTTCTTCCCTCCTGCAGGTGTGTGTTTCGTTTAAAATTTATTTTATTTTCACGTTCGGCTGTCGCGTTTGATGTTTGTTTTTCATTAATTTTCCAATTATACATTGAAAGGGTAAACTTTTGTAATTAAAATTTTTTTATGAAAAACTAACGTATCGCTCTGTAACAGTAAGAACAAGTGACTGTCATATTTTCAAAATTTTTCGAGAATTCCCGCGAGATTTCGAACTTTCAACTTGAGAGCGTAAAGTCTAGATAATAAAATCGAGAAATTCATGACGAGTGGAATTGATTACCAGAATTTTGTACAATTAATAATCGAATTGATATTAATCCTTAACAACGCAGAATACAATACAATTTACTCTTAACAAAGATGATTCGACGGGACAGTTATTTTGACTAAAATAATCTAAAATCCAAATGACACTTACCTTCTCGATCTTGCCGTTGTCCAAAGACCAACTTAAACAAAAAAGAGAAGAAAGATCACCCGTTCCGAACACATTCCAAATCGCCTAATTAATATCAATCGAATTGATATTAATCTTTAACAGAATACAATACAATTTACTCTTAACAAAGATGATTCGACGGGACAGTTATTTTGACTAAAATAATCTAAAATCCAAATGACACGTACCTTCTCGATCTTGCTGTCTTGTCCAAAGACCAACTTAAACAAAAAAGAGAAGAAAGATCACTCGTTCCAAACACATTCCAAATCGCCTAATTAATATCAATCGAATTGATATTAATCCTTAACAACGCAGAATACAATACAATTTGCTCTTAACAAAGATGATTCGACGGGACAGTTATTTTGACTAAAATAATCTAAAATCCAAATGACACGTACCTTCTCGATCTTGCTGTCTTGTCCAAAGACCAACTTAAACAAAAAAGAGAAGAAAGATCACTTGTTCCGAACACGTTCCAAATCGCCTAATTAAAATTACAACTAATTAGATCGGGGAGGAAGGAATAGTCGTGGCGGCGGTCGAAAAATCGTGCACGTACCCGGGGGGAGCTATACTAGCTTACCTGGCGGAGTCGCGTTTCGTGGTGGGGGCCCCTCGCAGCATTTTTTCTCACCTCGAAACCTGCCCCCGGTCGTCGTCGTCGGCCGGACTGGCCTTTCACGGCCCCCCCCCCCTCCTTGCTCGCACAATGGCGCAATTATGCAATTAAAGCGGGTGAATGAGGGTGAGGGCCCCCCTCCGTTGGCCGAGGGGACGAAAAATTCTCGGCCAAATAGAATTCCGTCGCAACGCGCGCGTTCTCTCGGTGGTGTCAGAGCGAGAAGGATCGCGAACTTCACGCGAGAATAGCGCGAGAAAGAAAAGAACGATGAGAAAGAGAGAAGAGGGTGGAAGGTGGCGAGGGTGGCGAGCCTCGTCTTTCTACTTTCTACCTCCTTCGCTCGCCCCCTAACGACCTCATTGTCCGAGGTGTAATCCAAAACGCCGTTCGCGAGGACCGTGTGTCCGCGCGAGCAGGAGAAAAAGGAGGGGGGAGGGGGGGGGGAGGAAAGAGAATAAAGACGAGAGATTTCGGAGGTGAGAAAGAGTAGTAGAGAGACGTGTGTGGTTGATGGGAGGGGCGAGAAAGAGAGGAGAAGAGCGAAGGGATGAGTTAGATACGGCATACGTGTCGGTAGAAATTCCGCTGCAATGTTGCAGCGTCGATCCTTCCTTGAGGTGTCAAATCAAAACACTGATCGAACCGAATGTACCATGAATTTACACGTATGAGATATTCGATTTCTTTTTTTTCCAAATTAAGGGGACAGGACAGTTTGACGGGCCTAAAAATCACGAATACTTTGGACGTTTTGCGGTTTATTTGAACACGTTATGAACTATAGAAAGCAACATTAAGAAAGAAAAAAAAAGGAGGGTCCTTTAACTTTTTTAACATCCTTTTATCCGTTTATGCCCCGAAATAAGTCGTTTTAAAGGCTAGGACCTTTTGTATCTTATTTCTAAGATTTTTTGAAAATTTCAAACTGTTCTGACCCCTTGAACCTAAGTTAACCACGTTCTTAATTTTATAATTACGAGTAGATTTGAGTCAGAAAGTTAGGACAGTGTAATAAATTAAAGTTGTATTTGTCTTTATATTTAACAATATATGTAAACTTTTTGTTCGAATATTGTTCAAATGTCAAACGAATAATAAAACGGTACAGTTCTTTTCTTTGTCAATCGTTTTACATTTGAGAGGATTATAATTAAAACAGGTACATTTTGTACAATTGACACATTACACAACTCGGATAACGTTAATGAAATTACAAAGAAGAAACAAATCAAATTTTTCTGACATTTTTTATTTTTTTTTGACGTCACAGACAATTCGAGACTGTTACACTGAGCCTCTCCTCGTATCTGACAATATATTTCTCCACTCGCACACAGCGGTGAAACACTGTTTTTCTACTTTCTTGTAATTTTCTGCAACTTTCAAATGTTGAAACGGCGAAACGCTTGTAGAAAATCCCACTTTTAACGCCGTGTTTAAAATCGAATCTCGAGCCGGCGCGTCGCGAGATTTCAATTATCCCCGTCCGCGATGCAAATCCACGCGATCAAGCTGACCCGCCTCGCGCGGCGCGAAGCCACGTTTTCCGCGTGGATCGCTCGAATCCCAGATGGATACGCGAATTTAGTCGAGGGTGCATGGTGCACTGGGACAGGATGTTTGGTCGGTTGGTTATGGTTGGTTACCGATTGTTTGCAATGGGTTTGCGCGAGACTACGGTTGCACACAGCGGGATCGCGTGTTCCGATCGATTGTCAATAACTGTCAATTATTTTATATCAACACCGTCTCAAATAAAACTCCGTGTCACGTGTTAAAACGTTTCATTTATAATTTGTTACACCGGAGATCGAAGAACTTGAGGAACTTTTTTTTTTCGAGTAGGTTCTGTTTGATACTCGTAGGACATTTTCTCGAAAAATATTATTTCACCGATGAGAACAGGGTGAGCAAGTGCGTTTCAGACGGAATGAAACTCGCGAAATATGCGAGTCAAAATTTTTTTGGTTCTGTTAAAAAAGTTTTCAATGTCTGTAGTTTCAAATACTGACACTGAATACTATTAAATGAATAGTACTTGAATGCAAAGATAGAGTTTTAATTGAATATTTTATGGAACTTCTATGCAGAGTCTGAAATATCTGTTCCATGGGAACGCTGTTCAAAAGTGTTAACATCTTTTCTATGAAAATTCTACAGAAACAGATATTTTTTTATAGGAAATATACAATTTCGAACAGAATTTTTTTAAAAATCTGCTTCTTGTTTAATATCATTCACGTGAAGATTTGTAGAGAGTTGTACGATTTTTTGGTTGTAATAATTGATATTTTCGAGTCTGAAATTTTTTTCTTAATTTGATTTTGCGATATTTTTAGTAATTGGGAAAGTTCAATGGTGATTGAAAAATTATTTAAACAATCATACTTTAAATAGATTGTTCAAATTGCAAGTCTTACATATATATATATATATACTATGTACTTCCAATAATTCAACACTTTTAATCGTAATATTCATAACATGTACAAATTAACTATGACAAATCCAGTTAAAAGTATGTGCTTCCATTCTCTAATTGAATTCTGAAATACCACAAAGGAATTCTCCACCATATTTATTTGATTATTTATTTGAAATAACCACGAGTCACTTTTTCACTCACTCTCTTATCAGTTTCTCTTTTATCAATTCGCTTGTCACAATCATCAAATACACTTGAGACTCCAACGACATTCAACATTTGAAATACGTGTTTAATCATCCTCGTCTTTAATTATAAATTGCCTCGGATAATTTCTGCCGCGTTAGAAAAAAATTTGGCACATTTCTACAATTTCATCCGTCACGAAGTGTCATTTCTATTTACTTCACTTGCAATTTGAGAGTAGAGCCAGTGAAAAATCACTACTCGTTTTCCCGATCGTACGAAACACGGATAATCAAAGGTTCTGATTCCTATCTGTAGCTGTTCTAGTCTAGAGCAAAGTTGTTCATTAATAATTCCAGCGTCTCCTTTTCCTTTCATGCTGCGATTCGTCAGCAGAACGAACAGGTGAGTGCAATATTCAATAGTATCATCGCTCAGAATTGCTGGGTCGAGACCGTGTCTCTTTGACAGCTGACACGATGGAATTAATTATTGCGGGGAACACTATTGTCGCCTTACAGAATGTAGTATATCCAATTATCCTCGTTTCTCGCGCACGTTTATTAAGACGTTGGAATTTAGCAGGAATGTTATAAAAAATCTCGGTAGCTTCAATCGACATGTACGAAAAAAATGTTGATTTCAAATGAATTCTGAACAATTCTGGGGGCGTATGGCGTAAAGAAAAATAACAAAATAATATTCGTCCTGCGTTAGTTGCAGATTCATAAATTTATTCTAATAGGAACGCGGGATAATTTTCAAAGATCGGACACAGGAACGAGCATTTTCAAATAATTTCTTTCTTTCGTTTCTACTTGTTTCTTAGATGAGACTCGATCAAAAATTTATTACAAGAAACTCAATCCGTCGTCCTCTAACGGCTTGTCATGGCGAGGATAAGGGATGTTCTGTATAATTCATGTTACACAATCCTCGGTCTTATCAGTCAAACTTGGGATCATAGTATTCTGGTTCTAATTTATTTAAATGGCCTCGAGTTTTTGTTTATTTGAATACTTTCCTTATGGCAGTTAGAGACAAGCTGATATCACATATTTTTGCACACTGTTCTGTAAAATATACGCGGAGGAAACTACTTGCGGAAACTCCTTTTAAATTTTAAATTGTTACACTAAGAAGTTAAATTCTTGTCTCAACTTTTTATTCAGCTTGCACAGAGCACCAGTACAGATGATCAAAGTCATGTTAATTTCGCAAGAGAGTAAAGAATCATGTCCAAATTAATGGCCCCTGCCTCGGATGAAACTGAAAAGCTAGAAGGCTAAAGATCTTCGTCCAAATTAATAGTTGCTGCTTCGGAAGGAACCAAACAGTTCAAAAAAAAAAAAAAAGAGCAATTCGACTCGTTGGAATCCCACTCACGAACCAGCAGCCAATCGTCATCGGTGCGAAACGACTTTCGCAGATGGGGACAATTTGTTGTAAAGTGTCTCTCTGTCGTAGCTTTGGCAAGAAGACCGCTCGACGGTTAGGATAAAAAGCGAGCCGGTGCACTTGCTTTTCATCCTCTTTGCCTAGCTCCCTCTCCGTCACCGTGTGCTTCCCTTGTGCTCTCGCTCTGGGCGAGTGTCGCGCCCGATTTAAATGAATTTGCATAGATTTTCCATTTATCCGTCCGGCCCGGTCGTTTATTGCATATTTATCGAAAACGGCGAAGAAACTAATGCGATAAATTTCAATAAGCCCCATCGGGCAACGCGTCACACGCCGACTTTAATATTCATATACGCGTGCGCGCATTGGCAGCGGAGCAGCAGCAGAGGACGGATCGTTCGCGAAATCAGGAAACGCAGCGCAGCAAACCCGCCCCAAAGGCGAAACCGGCATCGGGACAAAGTCTGAGAGTGTTTTCGAAACGCGGAGGCGCGAATCACGCTTGTCCAGAGAGAGAGAGAGAGAGAGAGAGAGAGAGAGAGAGAGAGAGAGAGAGAGAGAGAGAGAGAGAGAGAACTCGATGCTTGATTTACGATCAGAGGCTCGTGTCAAGCTGTTAGACGTTTCTGTGCTGCGTTTCCTTTCGTACGTTTTTTTTTTTCCACTTCTCGCGAAACAAACCACGCCAAAGACTGTGACTCGATGGAATTTCATTGACCATTTCGTTCTGTTTCTCCTTTAAATTAACCTCGTGCGTTGGAATGACGTGCCACGCGCGTCGAGAACTTTTTGTCACATTCTCTCAGTTCGGTCACTCGTTATGGTCCGCAATCAGTTGCCAGCGCAACTGGGTTAATTTCTCGTGCTTCGGGGATGAAATGTTTACGTACGTAATATTCATGACATTTTCAAAATACAAATTTTCAAAAATATTGGTATTTCATAATGTTTGAGACGAGGTATAATGTTGTATCACGAACGAAGGGGTTGAACGACGAGGGATTGATTTATTGTGGTCGTATCATGAGATCTAAAAAGAAGATTTAATTTTCTTGTAGTTCGATCAATTGAGAATCATGTACACTTCGAGACCTGCTATGAAATTCAACGTAGTGAGAAAAAAAATGTCCAAATTATAATCCATTTTATAACATATACCACGTAAATAATTTTCCACCTGCTTTTTCAATTACATTTACAAAAATATAAGTTTCCAGAAGAATCCGCAGTGTATTAACAATCGACTACAGAAAAATCTCTAGTTTTTCGAACATACAAAAAAGAAAAAAAACACTTAATATTCGAAGAAAATATTTGCTAGTAGAACATTCTGTTTCGATAACGTGCCAAAACGTTCGAGCGCTGAAATATTTGAAAAATATTATTCGCATCTTTGAGTAGAAAATTTTCCTTCTGAATGCCAGAACTGCCTGCTTGCTGCGAGACAATCGTCGTTACTTTCACTTTGATCCACCGCCTTGAACCTTTATTTCCTTTCAAGAAGAAACATCCGACATACCAATTTTCCACGTAGAGGAAACGCCGGATGTATACCATAATCTCTGCGGAAACAACTTGCAATTTGTGTATGTACGTTCTACGTACAGTCGTACCCTACGGGCGAATAATTGACTGGGATCAAAGTGGCGATAGTGACTGAGAAAGGGGGTCGTTTCCGATTAGAGTGCCGGTGGTAGGAGCGGATCGATTAATCGTCGGATTCTGTAGTTTCAGAGAGCGTGTTTTCCGCGGCAGTTGGGGTCGGAGTGGGTGGCTACACCTGGGGCGCTCCCACGCCACCCCCTGGATCACCGTACAGCCCCGTGCCTGTGACGCAGCTCGAACTGCTGGCCAAGAATTTGGCTAGCTTGGCTCCTCCGGGTCAACAGGCGCTTAGCCTTCAAGGTGTCGGTGTGAACGTTGGCAGCCTGCATCACGCCCAACACACGCAGCACACGCAACACACGCAACACACCCTCAACCTGACTGGTCTTCATCATCTTCATCATGGTGAGTGTTTCATTCGGCCGAGAAGAAAGATCGAACGAGAACGAGTTAATAGGGCGAAACGTTTCTCTCTTTTCTCTTTCTAGAGTAATAACTAACTTGCAATTGGTAGAAATTTAATAAAATTTTTGGTTTGTATTACACTCTCTATTTTTTTTTTTTTTTTATTAAACTACAAGTATAATAGAACCTCGTTTATACGAACTCATAAATTGATTAATTCTCTTATCTATTATCGAATAAATTGTAATGAATATATTATTAAATGAATAAAAGTAGGATAACAAGCTTCTATTGTCCGAACAACTTTAACGTATTTGAATAAACGAGGTTCTACTACATTTATAATTTAACTAAAACACAGAGAAAAATTTTATTTACAATCGTTTGAATGTAGAGGATAAACACACCGAGTATCTTGCTTTAATTCATTCATTTAAAAAAAAAATCTTAAAAATATGTATCCAGTTAGACAAACGATGATTGGTCATCGTAAGACGTTCCTCTCGAAACGGAAAAAAAAAGTTTTTCTTCGAACATTTTTCCAAATAATGAACACTTATGGATATGATTTCGTGGCTGATTTAAAATGAGACACCCTGTATACTTAGGTGTTTACACGTTAGAGGTTAACAAATCTAGCAGAAATATTTCCTTTAAAGATTATGAATATTCATGTTGGTAATAGCGTTGTAATTGGTTATATAACAAGTGCATATTGGTTATTCAGTTAGTATGTATAATGACTGAAATGTAAAGGATTTTAATTATAGTCATTCATATAGAGTGTAGATACATAGGCAGAGGTTGATAACTGTAATTATTCGTGCCATTTTTTCGCAATGAATTAAAGAAGTCTCTTTTTTTTCTAATTTTTCTGAAGAGTTGTTTATTTTGAACAAAGTAAAAACTTGGCAAAACTTTAAAAATTGTTTGTGCAAAGGAAATCCACGACCTGTTATTTTTTCACCCGTCAATTCACCATGATTATAAATTAAATTAAGGCGCACCGTGACCCAGATACGTCGTGTTTGACATTAATGCGGCGCAAATTGTAAATTTGTTTGACACGAATGGCCGATCGATTCTGGATAAGTTGGCACTTCATAACGTTAATTACAATATCGCTCTGGATTTATATATTCTTTATTGATAACAGTGATTTACGATAATTTAAAAATAAATATCGAAAATATAACTAAAAGAATTCTACAAAACAAAGTCCTGTTGGCTTTGTGTACATACGTCGAATTAAAAATCTTAAGTTAATTTTCAACTCGTTAACCTTTGATACGTCGAGATCATATCCGTTTGTACAAAGTCACTCTTGTGTTTATTCAGTCGTGACAAGCAATTCGATTTTAATCTGAATTTCACTCGGTTCTTAAAATTAGAAGGTTGTCGAGGGTCAGTAATGTGCCGCGTACATTATTTATCTCGACCACTTTGCCATCGTTTATCATCGTTAATGTCTCGTAGAATAAGTAGAAAAACTTACTTTGCATTTTCGATTTTTGAAAAAAGAGTTTGCAGTTCATGTATCATGTATGTGAAGTATAAAATTTTTATTTTACAAAGAGCAAAGTTCTTCAAGAGTAGATGATCATAAAAAATTATTTCTTCCTTTCCATTATCGTTTCTTTCTCACTTTTATCCTTTATTATTATCCTCTTATCGATTTTAAAGTAACCAATTATCAAAAATTATTTATATTTCTTTTCTTTCTTACTCTGTATTATTCTTTATTTATCCTTTGTTCTTTTATTAATTTAAGTATTATATATTATATATTTAGACGACACAGAGAGTTCAGAGTTTAATTTATTTATATTAAATGATAGTACATGGCCAATTATCAAGAATTATTTCCTTTACTTTATTATTATTCTTTTATTAATTTGGTGACACAGACTTCAGTTCAGAGTCTAATTTGTTTATATATATATATATATATATATATATAGTTATCAATTTAAGAGTAGCTTAGATTTTTTCCACTATTATATCCTTTTTTTATCAATTTCAGAATAGCTAATTGTCAATAATTATTTCTTTTTCATTCCCGTCTTTCGCTATTATCCTCTTCTTAATTTAAATAGAACATGACACGAAATTCAGAGTTTAATTTATTTATACCAAACTATTTTCTTTCAGTTACTATATAATTCACTCCCTTACGAACTATTTTCCCCAGAAGCCTGCCCAATTATTCTTTCAAAAGCACAATTGGCATATCTGGGTTAATCGTCCAAATATAGGAGCGCGCACGACCGGATAAAAATGACAAAAATTATCCGTTTGACCGAATAGGCGAACCGATAGCAGATCTAAATGACGGAACAGCAAATGGAGAAACTGGTTTTGGTTCATCTAAATATGATCCGGCCGGAGATATCGAGGAAGTCGCGAAACTTTTCTCGTTTAACTTTATCGATCGTGTCACCCGTAATAAACCCAACGGAACGAAAAGTTACGCATTCAACAAGTTCGGAAAGAGTTTAATCGGCGCTCGATTGCCGACTAATTCGACGCGAATGCTGGAATAATCTTCGATCACCGCGCAAGTTGACACAGGGTTATTCAACGTTCGTTCTCTCTCTCTCTCTCTCTCTTTCTCTCGAGTACTTTTAAGGCTGTATTCATGCCGACGAATCGCTCTTGAAGTTCGACGTCGATTCGCCGGTTAAGCAGCTTACAATGTCGGAAAATAAGATGGTCGTGAGAAAGAGATTCCAAAGTTGTTCGGAATTTCCCATACATGTCCCCCAGTGTGTGTAATTGGAATTGTTTCATAAATCACTCGAGGCTTTGCTCCTTCGAGCCTTTGATCTCGATATCGATCTGTTCGTAACCGTCTCTGTGCAAATTGTTCTGCTTCATTTTTTTACGCTCTGCGTATTTTGCTATACAGCTTACGAAAGTAGTCGAACACCTGTAGAGAATTTGTGTTACATAATTCTCGAATATTTTGTCTCGGAAAGTTAATATACAGGATGTTTCGTAACTTGTGGGAGCTGATTGTACGCCTAAAAATAATGAAAAAAAGTCATATAAATATATGTCCTATCTGTCTTTGTTTCTGAGATATAATGAATTTTCTGTTTCAATTACTTTTACAAAAGATGCTCGAAATGACGAGCTTGCATTTGAAGACAAGCCTGCACGCGTCTTGTCATTGATCTCGTTACTCTCTCTATCATTCCTGGTGTTTCTCGAATTTGTCGGAAGCCTTGCTCTATTCTATTTCGTAGTATTTCAGCATTTTCAATCGACGTTGCGTGTACAATAAATTTTAAATGTCCCCACAAATGAAAATCTAATGGATTCAAATCCGGAGAACGAGCAGGCCATGCAATAGGACCTCCACGACCAATCCATTTATTTGCAAAGTGTTGATTGAAAAATTGCCTAGCCACTCGGCTAAAATGCGGCGGAGCTCCATCATGCATAAGCTGCATACGAAGTCTAATATCGACTGTAACTTCCTCTAATATTTCGTGTAAACGCGTGCTCAAAAAATCAACGTACTTTGTGCCTGTTAGTTTCCCATCAAGAAA